GAATCCAATTCTCCCTTTCCCTGATTTGATTTTGATGCGGTTGAGCAGAGTATAGTTGTTTTTAGAAGAATTTATGGGCCGGAAAAGCACATAGAAAGGTTAGAATTTATGAGAAAATTAAATTCCCATGTGTTTTTTTCCAAATCAGTTCTCAATAAGTTTTAATTACCTTCTTCTAAGTCGGATTTGATTTAGTTCTTTTTATTTCTTTTGTAGGCATTCTTAATATTTTTAAAGTTTATTTTTTAGTTTTTTAGCTTAGTTTTATTTTAATATCTATTTTTACAATCTTTTAATTTTCTTTCAAAAATAATAGTTTTTAATCATTTTTTATATTACATTATTTTTATTTTATTTTTCCTAACCTATATAGTTTATTAGATATCTTATTTTGTTTGGAGAAAATAATATAGCAAAAGACCAAATTAGAGTTCAAAATTGAAAAGAACAAGTTGAATTTGGGCCAAAGCCCAAAACCATCAACAAAACAAGCCCAGTCCTTCCTCCTCTTTAGACTCATGCAAGAATGAAATGCAAGAATGAAAAAAATCCAACAGCCTTCTCCTTCTCCTTCGTCAACTTTGGAACGGAAGAACGCTCCAACGTCTCTCCACAAATCTCGCTCAAGTGCTCCAACGTGAAGAACTTAAAGGCCCCTTGCTCTTATTATCCTATAAATTGATGACGAATTGCACATCAAAAGAACAAAGGGGGAATCATTGAGAAAGAACAGCGGCTCTAGCCGCTGCAATGGCAGCGGTCGGCTGCAGCTCTAGCGACGAGGCTAGCTAAGGCCAGTGGTGGTATCCGGCGGAATGGTGGAAGAATCTCTGGTCAGAGGTTGCAGTAGCTTTCCAACTCAAATTTCTTCAATTTCTTCATCTTCTTCAAATTGGTAACCCTACATTTGTAAATTTCTTTTTCTTCTCCAATTTCTCTGTAAAAGTTTATTTTCAATTCAATTTACACTTTGTTTTCCTTATTGTGTTAACTTCAAATGTTCTAAAAAATATGGTTGGTGTTCTTTTATGGATTTTTTGATACATACATAAATACATACATACATACACACATACATACATCCATACATACATACATGCATACATGCATGCATACATGCATGCATGCATACATGCATACATGCATACATACATACATCCATACATACATACATCCATCCATCCATACATACATACATACATACATACATACAGACATACATACACACACACACACACACACACACACACACACACGGAAACCTGACCTTTGAAGGAAAGGTAATTATCATTAGCCAAAATATATATACAGTAAAATGGATTTGATTTACCTACAGACAAGAACGTACATGCCAATACTACAATCTCTTGACAATATGTCATATCGAGACTAATGAAAAGTTAGATTTGCTGTCGTGTAATACGTTCAAATTCGAGACAAAAATTCTAATGCCCTAAAGACTACGATCCCTTGAGTAACTTGGAACATTACGATGTATGAATAAAAGTATATATCCTCCAAATCTTCCACTACATCTATTGCGAATTTGATAATTCGAAACTGTAAATGCTACTAAAGGACTTTCAATCAAAGGAAGAGTATCATTAATCGATGTTGTACAATTGGGAATTGTGAATGAGCAAAGATATGTACAAGTAAGTCAAATATGCCTCAAAGTACGATGTTATAATCTGCAAAGGAACCTTGATTATTGATGATAAACTCCAAATGGAAATCTGCAAAAGGATCGTTGGATATCTTTGTTAATCTTTCAAAGATAGAACAAGTTTGATAACAATGTTAGTTAGAGATTACGTATCCGTGTGGATAATGACGTAATTATGGTTTAACCGAATGAACATGACGCGGTCATGAGTAAGTATGAATATAACAAAATGTTGATTGTGGACCTTAGAAGAATTTCGAGGATGAAATTCCTTTATGGGGGGAGAAATGTAACACCCCTAAACATATCCTAAAGTTTTTAATAATAGTTATTCAATTCATCAAATTGTTTTGATTAAAATAAATTGCTGTTGGGCTCTGGACCAAAATAAAATGTGTTTTGATATCCAACATCATAATCTGGATAAATCTCATAGAGATAAATCCAATATATTGACTAATTGTGTGACCTTGATTGGGAAACAGAGTAAAGACCCAAAATCAAAAATAAATGAAGAAATTGTTATGATATGAACTTTGAAATGATTTATCGAAATAAATCATGAGAGTAATTTTAATGAATTAAATATGAGAACCTTTTTGAATAAAAGTCAACTGAATTAATTTTATAAAAAAAAACTGAATTAATTTTGACTCTGTCAAAATCAACCACCCAGAAATATGATGTCAAAAAAGTATTACAAATAATAATGAAAAGTATATCGTTGAATAGAATTTGACGGTGTGATCGCGACGGTGCAAACGGATTTCAATTTGGAGAAAGTTGGACAAAAAAGTGTACCCCGACTGGAACTAAAATTGGTACCAATCAGGGGCACTGTGTAGACGGGGCCTCCCAGGAGTCCCAGCGCACTAATTCATTTTCCTACGCAGCTACACCACTTGTCTCCTTCTTCTTCTCTTTCCTATATAAGAGGGAGAACCAATTTCCATTTTTTCAAAAAAAAACTTAGTAAGTTAGCATCATTGTGTTTCTTGTTGACGGGAGAGTATATTGGTGCTATCTAATTGGTGAGAGGTCGGCAGAGTTGCTAGTTATCGTCGCTGGAAGTTTTGCTGGAAAATTTCCAAAACCTCTGTTAAGCTTCGAGGTAAGCCTGTAGATATATCCAGTGACTAGCTAGAATGTTCGTATAGATCATTTCTACGTTCAAAAACGGTCTTTTGGATGAGTTTTGTGTTTGACATGCTTGAAAAACCAAGAATCATAAACCTTGAATTTGTTGTTAAAATTTCGAATTATTGATATCAAAATGATTTTTGAACATTGGAGAACATTTCTATATAGTTTAATTGAAGTTTGGTGGCTTAAAATGATTGTTCGAAAATTTAACCCGAGGTTGAAGATGAAGTGCCGTTCGTTGGTTTGCAGGAATGGTCCACCGTTCTGCCACAAAGGTTGACCGTTTTAAGACTAGAACCACCATGGTTGCAATAACGGTTGACCGTTCTGCCACAAAGGTCGATAACACCGTCAACAACAAAAAATGCTATTTTTGGAGCTATAAAATCCTATTTTTGATACCAATCAATTATGAATAGTGTAAAGATGATTTTTCACCATGAAAATGATGTTTTTAACAAATAAAATGTCATGTGATGCATGGCGGTAAGTTAGTGTGTTAACACTCGAAACTAAGCCGCTATTTGCTATTGGATATTATGTTGGTTGATGGTTATGATGAATGATTGTTATGAATGACTATGAATGATGAACCTACTGATTAAAATGATTGTTTATGATTGAACTATTAGTAAAATGAATACATTGATAGTTACGAAATGATTTGTATTCTTAAGGGTATCTATTAGAACTCTAACATATACCCATTTAGATAATTGATGTTAAGGCTATCTAGAAGACCTCTATAATAGATCTCATATTAGAATGGATTTGTGAAAATATGAATATTCGGTGATTTGGATAAAAATGAAATAACGGAATTCGTAGACCAAATTGGAGGATCACTCGTTTGAAATTACATCGACTTAATGATAATTAATCACTGTCTTGCTGTTGTATTAAACTAATTATAGTTTAAGCATCCGAGAATTGTTTGCCTTAAACTAATTAAAGTTTAAGCGTCTGAGAACTGTTGCCTTAAACTAATTATAGTTTAAGCGTCTGAGAATTGTTTGCCTTAAACTAATTATAGTTTAAGCGTCGGAGAATTGTTTGTCTTAAACTAATAATTATAGTTTAAGTGTCTGAGAATGAAATTACGATCTGCCCGAATAGCTAAAAGCGTTGTTATGATTTAGCCTTAGACTAAAAAAAGCAAAGAACATTGTTATTATTTAGCCTTAGATTAAGAATAATTTAAGAGCACTATTAAAATAATATCTGAATTGAATAAAATATGTTTATATGAACTGAACAATGTCAAAATTATGAATGTCTTAATTGAACATTGTGTGCATGATATCAAATGATATGATTATGAATTTAGATTCAGTTTATATGGATGGTCGACGCATTAGATATGCTTACTCAACTTCAACGTTGAGCGAGTAGTATGTTTCATTTGCTACACGCAGGTAAATAGAAAGAATGATGTGATGTGATTTTGGAAGCAAAACAGAGGCGAGATTGTCGGAATGGATGTGATAGTTTTCATTAAATTTTTTTACGAACAAATATAATTTATTAATTATAGAATGAATAATCATATACAATGAAAAATAATTACAAAGTAAAAAATTTCATTTAACTTCATGCATGATACAGGTTAAAATACAAGTGTGTGTGTGTGTGTGTAAGGAAATGTAGAGTTATACCATCCCAAATGGTGTAACTTCGTAGCATTTCAATCAACACCTATGGTGCTCCTTCGTAAAATTGACGATTCATACCCCTGATGACTCCCTCATAAACCCCATCCCCGACCTTGCCCCATCACTGCTGCAACTGCATCCCATAAGTTTTGTTGACTTTTTCAGTCAAAATTTTGACCCAAGTCTCAAAAAACATGAGATTAATTAATAACCGAAAGACACGGTGTGGAATGTCGTAGAAGCTTAAACAAAGTGTTCAATACATTTATTATCAATTCATATATTAATAATAGTAATAATAAACATTCACTTCTTGCTCAAGTCTAATGGCATATGGCGCATGACATATCATTGTTCACATGCAGTTTGAGATCATCACCTTGATCTTATATATATATATATATATATATATATATATATATATATATATATATATATATATATATATATATATATATATATATATATATATATATATATATGCTACCAGTTCTTATAAGAAAATTCAAAACCAAATGGTGGCCCAAGACAGATTTAGAAGGATGCAACAAAAAAGCAGTTGACAAATTCTGCAGAGACTCGCCACAATATTGTAAGAAACCAAGTTATGAGATTGTGACCAAGAGTGAGATTTTCCAAGAAAAAAAGAGACAAATCATGGCAAAATTAGCAGCGTGCAAATCAGATGATGAATGTGAAAAACTTCTAGCAGAACTCAAGGAAACCAGTAGCGCGCACATCAAGCTTCTCACGCCTTGCTTTGGCGTGCCTTGGTTTTGCGACCCTTGCCCTTACGCCGCTTGCTTTTATGTTCCCTACATGGCTGTGTATGACAAATACAACAGACACATCATTCATCCACAGTTAATCAATCAAAAGAGACTAGGATTGCTGACTACAAAAACATGTTTGTTTTTCTTTCTTTTTTAATCCCAAAGTAAAAGAATCGTACAGAGCATTTTAATTAAAATAAATAGAGTAAATTCCATAATTAGTCCTTTATAACAGGGGGTTTCCATATTTAGTCCTCTATTATCAAATATTACCCCCATAGTCTTTTTTCTAAGGGTACTTTTCCAAAAATGATCCTTTTTTTGATCTTCTGCCGTGTTGGTGTTAATTTAAAGGCTAAAAGTATAATTTGACGTCAACATTATGTCTAGTGACGTGTTCTGATATTGGTTAAGCGGATAACACAAAAATAATGACTATGATTGTGGGCTAGAATTCTAATGAAAGATCACATTTGTAGACTATAGTTGTCGTAAAAAGCGAGTGTAATTCACAAACGACGCAAACGGAACAGCCTATGGAATTGTGTATGACAAAAAAGATATATTATCATTGTGAAATTACAATTTTAGCCCTCAAATTAACACCAACATGATAGAAGATCAAAAAAGGACTATTTGTGGAACTGTACCCATAAAAGAAGGACCACTTGGGTAATATTTGATAATAGAGGACTAAATAGGGAAACCATCCTGTTATAAAGGACCAATTATAGAATTTACTCAAATAAATAAATAAGAAGCAGTCCCTCAATGAACATTGTAGCATACCGTGGACGGCCCAGCAGCCAGTGTGCACTCTCTTTCTGGGAGTTGTGATATTGTCTCACTGCGAATAAAACTGGTGCAAAACAAATTAGTCAAACAATTAAAATAATATAGACCACTTAAATCACAATATTACCCTGCCACACGTGTAGTGAAAATCACATAATCGACTCAACTCCACATACGAGGCAAATTACAATCCTCTTGAGATGTGAAATTTGAATTCCCAGGGTCCATAACACTCCTGCTGCACTTAAAACAATTTCTCTTGCCTCCCAACATTTTGAGGCATGTGACCTAAAGTTTCATCCCAATTCAACCCCACCCAAAAAAATAATGATATGGACAGCCCAGTAAATAATTTGTTTCACAATGCAGTAATTATCTGAGCCATATAATCATCAAGCAAGTAGAAAAAGCTAGAGAAAAATAAACCCCCAGTGCACATAAACAAGGACCCAAAAATAAAAAACTTACACGGCGTCTAGCTCGTTAAGGTGTGAACCCTTGACATTGTACACATTGGTGGAAACATTTACAGCACGTGGTTGCTGATCAATCACATGAACATCAAATGTGGTACAGTAAATTCGAGCAGCTTTACCATGAAAATCAGCCCAAAGAATACAGAGACGTTCTTTGCCTATGAGCAATAATTTTGCAGGGGTATAAATAGGAAAATATGGAGAATACTGTTTATTGCCTGCTGGCAAAGCATGAGGAAAGTTCTCCAAACCAACAACTGGAGTTTGGTACCATTTATGGGCACGGTCATTGTAGACCATAAGATTGGCTCTTTCTTCTGGTTCTTCATTGAACAAAAAGTAAATAAAATTACCATGACCAACACCACCTAGAGAATCCAAAGGCTCTTTGATGTGGTCACGAGACACCTTAAATTCATTTTTGACAAAATCATAGGAAATCCTCTCCGTCCATGTAAATAACACGGCACGCTTATCATGTCGCTTGATATAACCCGTAGCAGGATCAGCGGTGGTTTCATAATCAAGTTTGAATGCAATAACCATAAGGCCAATCTGCGAGTCTAAGAGTTCTTTACTGATGGGATGTATGGACTGCCAGCCTTTGGCCAATTCATTGCAATCAAGACACTTCAAATCAAATGAGTAACAACCAAATGAGTAACCCTCATACATTCCCAAGGCATATATCTTGTCATTGGCTGGAAAGAAGTAATAATCAAATTCTGTTTCTGTAAGGTAAGGAGCTTCATTCCATTCACCCTTGATATTTCGTGTATCATGATAAAAGAGATGCCTTAAGCACGTTCCCGTAAAACCACGGAGGGTGAAGATATAAGGCCCAACAGAAAATGGAAGCCAGCCAAAAACATTGAAATAGGGAAAACTAGGCTCCTCCTAAATGGCGGGGTGGATGTGCCTATCCTCACAATCCTCACTGACAGACATGTGCTGTGTAGAAATAGAAAACCACTTAGTTTCGTAGTCTGTATGGGGGTTTAATAAGCTTCCACAGTTATGCCTTTGGGAATATAAACGGAAATAGATGGTGACATCTTCAGCTTCAGAATTGGAACCAATGCTCAATCCACAATCAGATTCAGCTTTAAAAGATGCCGTCGTTGATCTTTTTGCATTTCCTATAGATGAGAAGTAGAGCGTTCTATTAAGGTCTCACCCAAGCCCTATAAATTTCCTCTTATTTCATTGTACTAGACATGGTGTGTTATTTTTAAAAAAAAAATATTCAAAGTTGTAGAAGAAATCCCATACAAGCAGAAAACTCCATTTAATTGAATCCACGAAAAAAAGGGTTGCACTTCTTGTGGTGAAAATGGATAAGCTTTAATAATAGAATTGAGAATAAATAGTGTAAGCAACAGATTCTTGTTAAAGTATTACTACCCACCCTAACATAATAAAAGGAAGAAAAAAAAAGATTTATTAAGAGCATACAAACCTGTGTGTGTGTGTGTGTGAGAAATCCGTACCTGATACCCCCCTAAGAAGCCGGTCCTGTTGAGGATTAAATGTGAGCAGTTGGTCAACGCGTTTTTTGATATGGGCTGCTAAACGAGTATGATTTTCACGGACATGTACAGTGCCGTTGTTGGTCGAGGAATCCTCTGCTCCTAAATACAATACAGATGGACATATATAATATTACACACGCCCTCTGCTCAAATATACAATATTACACACCCATAGATTATGTGTGTACAAGGATTCATACCTGATGTCGCCTTCATCTGAAGGTATTTGTCAATGAGTTGCCCGATCTGGCCTATTTCCTCTCCCATCGAAGTATGATCTTCATGGAGATGCATCGTACAGTCTGGGGTCGATGAATTCGCCATTCCTAAATACCGATGGACAGAACCACGATGAATCCTATTCTCCCTTTCCCTGATTTGATTTTGATGCGGTTGAGCAGAGTTTAGTTGTTTGTAGAAGAATTTATGGAAAAGCACATATAAAAAGGTTAGAATTTATGAGAAAATTAAATTTCCAATTATTTTTTTTAAATCAGTCGTCAATAAGTTTTAATTATATTCTTATAAGTCGGGTTTGATTTAGTTCTTTTTATTTCTTTTGTAGGCATTTTTAATATTTTTAAAGTTTAATTTTTAGTTTTTTAACTTAGTTTTATTTTAATTTCTATTTTTACAATTTTTTAATTTTCTTTGAAAAATAATAATTTTTAATCATTTTTTACATTACATTATTTTTATTTTATTTTTCATAACCTATATACGGAGTAGTTTATTAGATATCTTATTTTGTTTGGAGAAAAAATTTTAGCAAAAGACCAAATTTGAGTTCAAGTTTGAAAAGAAGAAGTTAAATTTGGACCAAAACCCAAAACCATCAACAAAACAAGCCCAGACCTTCCTCCTCTTTAGTCTCATGCAAGAATGAAATGCAAGAATAAAAAAAAATCCAGTGGCTTTCTCATTCTCCTTCGTCAACTTTGGAGCTAAAGAACACTCCAACGTCTCTCCACAAATCTCGCTCAAGTGCTCCAACGTGAAGAAATTAAAGGCCCCTTATTCTTATTATCCTATAAATTGATGACGAATTGCACATCAAAAGAACAAATGGGGAATCATCGAGAAAGAACAGCGGCTCTAGCGGCTGCAATGGCGGCGGTCGGCAGCAGCTCCAACGACGAGGCTAAGGCTGGCAGTGGTGTCCGGCAGAATGGCGGAAGAATCTCTGGTCAGAGTTTGCAGTAACTTTCCAGCTCAAATTTCTTCAATTTCTTCAAATTGGTAACCCTACATTTGTCAATTTCTTTTTCTTCTCCAATTTCTTTGTAAAAGTTTATTTTCGATTCAATTTGCACTTTTTTTTCTTATTGTGTTAATTTCAAATGTCCTAAAAAATATGGTTGGTGTTCTTTTATGGATTTTTTAATGTCTATATACATATACATACATACATACATACATACATACATACATACATACATACATACATACATACATATATATATATATATATATATATATATATATATATATAAAATTAAAAAGACAGTTTAGTAACAAAAAAAAGAGTAAATTCCATAATTGGTCCCTTATAAGAGGGGGGTTTCCATATTTAGTCTTCTATTATCAAATATTACCACCGTAGTCCTTTTTTTAAGGGTACCTTTCCACAAATGGTCCTTTTTTTTTATCTTCTGCTGTATTGGTGTTAATTTAAAAGCTAAAAGTATAATTTGACATCAACATTATGTCTAGTGATGTGTTCTGATATTGGTTAAGCGGATAACACAAAAATAATGACTATGATTGTGGGCTAGGATTCTAACAAAACACCACATTTGTAGACTATAGTTGTAGTAGAAAACGACTGTAATTCACAAAAGGCGTAAACAGAATAGTCTTTGGAATTGTGTATGAAAAAAAATATTATCATTGGGAAATTACACTTTTAGCCCTCAAATTAACTCCTACATGATAGAAGAGCAAAAAAGGACTATTTGTGGAAAGGTACCCATAAAAGAAGAACTACTGAGGTAATATTTGATAATAGAGGACTAAATAGAGAAACCCTCTGTTATAAAGGACTAATTATAGAATTTAAAAAAAAGAGTACAAAAGAGGATGACCAACCGAGCCCCCAAAAAAACAAGCACAATGTGAAAACAAGAGAAACCAAAAGCTACATAAAATCCCTAACCAGGGATAAGACAAAAAAGATAGTAACATATCCAGGGACACAAAACCAGAAGCCTCTGCAATTACGAACAAGGAGATTTAACCAGTGAGCTAGCAACACCCTGCCAACAACCCAAAAGCTGTAGTCTTCATAACCTTCTTATCCTAATAGACTATATTGTATCCAGAAATCTAGCTTTGCGGTTGGAACAATGAGAATTCAGATGAGAAGCCAGGCAACCCTAAACTAGATCATATGGGTAGTAAATTATCTCAATCAAGGCCGTCTAGAACTTTTAGCCACAAGGAAACAAACTCTCATAAGAACGGAAGACCAATTATTACCAGGAGACCTCTTCATCATCTAATTGAATCTGAGGCTTTTTCTTCCTTTTCTTCTCTTTCTTTTTTTGACTTTTGGTCAAAGGTTTACTATTGTTCTTATTTGGAGCCTCCTTTTTGTTTGGACAACACAGTTTAAAGAAATTGATTACCTCTGTTTCATAGGAGTCTTCAGGTTCTTGCAATTTTTGTTCCTCTACCCACCCTACTGGAATTTGCTTCCTCCCTTCTTCAAGAATTTTTGCCCTGCTTCGAGTAACTATCTGTGATGGAGAATATGTTTTTCTACCCTTAAATTCTCTACGGAGATTAAAGGGGACTTTAAAACATTTGGATGTGTCAATTTGTAGAGGTTGGAGTTTAGTGTCTATGAATACTTCCTCCTCTCCCTCAGAGTGTGTATAGAGTATAGGACCCTCTCTTTCTTCTCTATTGTCCTCTACAGAATTCCAGCAAAGTGCTAGGCTCTTGTGGTCGATCTTGGCAAAAATATTTTCTTCATTGAAATCTTTGTGTAGTTCCAGGTCCTGTTCCATGAGAGCTGCAAAGCTATTATTCATAACAGGTATAAACGGTGTAGAAAGTGGGGAAAGTGTTCTTCTAGGTAGAGGGGGGAATAGTAGTGTATATGAAGAATTGGGTATTGCCTCTTTATCTAACTGGTCTCCCCCTTCGAAAACAACCAACTGATTCTCACTTTTGTCAAATCTGCCATTTTGGAGCACAAATTCAGCCTTTTTGTTCTTCTCTACATCATCCACCTTTGATTCCAAGCTTGTTAATTCTGGCGCATAGTGTATATGTTGTCCATTGGAGTCATCTGTGGGCGAAGAATGTATAACAGCTTCCAAGGCCATTGAATTTGAGCAGTTCTCAGTTTGTGTGCACATAGTCGAAGACTTAGCCAAATTTTCTTTTGCCTTGCCATGTAGGCCATCTAATCTGTTCTCCAAAGCGGGTGAGGCTTTGGTTGCCTTAGCCATGAATGAAGAGAGAGCCTTGAGGAAGAGATTAGGACCATCTTCCTTTGGGTCGAATGGGATATTGATAAACCTAACACCTTCTCTTCTGATTTCAGCTAATTGAATCCTGTCAATTCTCTTGTGTGATCTAGATAATTCCAATCGCCGATTACAATCTACTTTTAACATAACAATAGATTTCCTGCTAACCAATCTTGGTATGGACTCCATAACCCAATTTATAGAATCTAAGTCAAGCCAGATGTGGTAGGTTCTACTCCCCAGTTCAGTGATGCAGAAAGTGCAGTTGTAGAATGAGTAAAATAATTCAAAAACCTTTGAGTGTGTCTTGAACCTGAATTTGTGGTTTCTGCTGTGAGATGTGCCTGATTCAAATGCATGCTGAACTTCCTCCTGGCACGGGATAGAAATTTTACTCGTACTGAGGACATAGGAGTGTCTTAGATTTGCTTTATCAGGAGATTTAAATGGCCATCTATTTCTGTAGACGTGAAAAGGAAGAGGATGAGATCTTCCCCGACTCCTTTCAGACCTTGGATTCCTTGCCCACTGATTTGATTTGTAGCTAACCCATGGTTGATACCGCGCTTCAAATTCGGCTGAGTGATAGGCCACATATGTGGATGACAAAAATCCGACGACACTACGTCAAAAACAGATGCTGACAACTGTTCTTTTTAGTAGTCTAACTGTGCAAGTTTTAGTAGTCTTCCGAGCAGCTGTCTGATATATTTACAGACTACTGTTCAAAAACAATTGTGTAATACAGTTGACGACACCTATTTTGTGATGTTTCAGAATACATGTTTTTGAAGTTGTCCTCGTATGAGTAAAACATCTGTTTTCTAGAGTTAAAGACAACTGTGATATTTTGTTGTGTATTTATAATGAATATTACTGTTGTTTTCGACTTCAGACTCCTATTGCGTGGTGTTGTCGTTCAACAATATAAACATCTAATTTCAAAAGTAGTTGAAAGATATATCAGACTGCTGCTTGGAAGACTACTAAATAAAAATAGCATCAAACAACTCTTATCTTGTGTTATATTTCAAAAATGTAGACTACTAATTTTATTGTATTTTAAACAACCGTTTCTTTCACTTATATAGTGCTCAATAACACTACGTTTTTTTGTAGTTGTCATTGAAATATTCAAACTACCTTTTTACATAGTAGTCAGATTGTAATTCAGACTACTGCTCCGAAGACAACTAAATATGTTTGCATAAGACAACTACTACTCTGTGTTGTATTTGTAAAATGTAAACAACTATATTTGTTGTATTTCACACAACTGTTTATTTCTATTGTCTAACGTTTACTAACAGTCCAGGTTTGTGTAGTTGTCCTTAAAAGATTTAGAAAACTGTTTTAATACATTGTAAAGCTATTTGAGAGACTACTATATTTCAATTTAAATTTATATTTAATAAATAAAATTTATTTCAATTCCAAAATAATGATCATGAAACAAAAATAAATTCTAAAATATAGAATATATTCAATAATATTTAAATACATACAATCCAAGTCTAAATAATTTCCAATAATTTAATATTTACATAATTAAAGTCACTCTAATTGTCCATTCAGCATGCCTGATTTAGTTATTTGTCCCCTCAATAACATTTTTGAATACATCTCTTGCTCTAGCAACATTTTCTTGTAACGCATCCACTTTAGTCCTCAATCTGCATACCATTAAATAATTAAAATCTGCATACCATTAAATAATTAAAATGAATGTTTGTTAATAACAAGAAAGAGTTCACAACAAAAATACTTGAAATTTTTTGGAGTTATTCGCTAGCTAAATAACTCCAAAGTAGTTCATATACATCTATTTAAAAATTGAATTGAAGTTCATAATTCAGCTTAGAAATCAAGCAAAGCTGCAGATTTTTCTAAATAAAAAAGAATTCAGTTTAGATGAATACAAGTAATTGCGGCACTAGTGATAATTTATGCACAAGATGACAGATGAAGATGACAAAGTTACTTTTTGAGATTTTAAAAGTCATAAGCATGTTTATATGNATGTAAAAAAAATCTGTGTGCATGGAATCTTTGTCAACAACCAACCCAAGAGAGACGGTTTGCGTTACTCTTGATGCATTTACTTACCAAAACTTCATAGTTCATAGAGAAATAGATGCAAAGGAATTTTAATTTGCCATTTTGATCTATTGAATAATGGATTTTTTAGTTCCATTAGCTACACTAAACTTTCATAGAATCTTTGTGTTGATTAAAATTTACAAGTATCAGAAATTGGAGAAAAAGAAGCTAGAAAGGGGAGGGGTGTAATGTAGGCTACCTTCCTAAGTTTAGAGAAGGGGTTAAAATGTTTTCCCAAAGGAAAAGGAAAAAGTTCGAGCTACAAATTTAGAATGCTTCTTGGTTAATAGAAACAGTGCCGCAAAGAACCGCTCGTTGAAAACTAACCTTACCAGACTGTGTGGTATTGAACCAATTGAAGCATGTTTCAAGTCAAATTAATGCACTGTCCAAGAAGATAGATATGTCACAATTTTCTCAGAAGAGCTCTTGTCCTTACCATGTTGTACTTGTATTCAGCTGCAGATTTGCCAAATAATGTCAGTTGCCAATAGATTTAAAGCACATCATTTTGAAAATAATGGATGACTATCCAAGAAATTTAAGGTAAAGCCAAATCGTGATCATTTCAATTATGATACACGTTTATACATAGTGCCACATTCCAATACAAGCACTACCCAATGTTACCCAATGTTATTAATATAAGTAACACCAAGATTTTTATAGCTTTAGATTCTAATCTAGTTGCGAATTCAAACTATACGATTTCAGATATCAAGTCCACCCATATATATTCCCTCACCAAGGTACAGGTTTCACAAAAACTCAGTCAATATGCTCAGCAAAAGTATTTCAAAACCAGGTTCAACTTATTCCTCCAAGGTAATGCATCAAATAGAGGCGGGTGAAATGTTAATCTTACCATAATCAGCTTCAAAAAAACAGCAGTGAAAACCACCCCACACGATGCCCAATAACAGAGTCAAACTTCCACTACAAAATCAGCCCAAACAGCAGCCCCAACACTGCCATTTCAAGCCCGAATGCACAGCAAAAATAGCCACTGCAGCAGCACGGGTTGACCTCCAAAACAAGTATCATTCAAACATCAAAATTGTGGAGGAGGAAATCTCCACAAGCAAGTAAAAGGCTCAGCAAAATACAGTTCCAAAAATACAGTTAAAACAGTCCAAAATAAATTTTGCAGCTCCACAACTCCAGCAACCGTAAATTCAAAGCAAAAGTAAAGAGTTTATTTAATTAAAATTTGAATAGCAGCGTCAAGAGCACCTTCAAGAACGACCATAATCCACAAAAAATTTTGCAAAAACCAACAAGGAACATGGTTCAAAACATATGTCAAAATCTCGCTGTGTACAGTAGCTTGTTTCCCAAAACTCCTCAAATCGCAGGTAATTCAAATGGAATTGAAATCCAAGTAAATACCTTGGATTAGGAAGCCATTTCGCTCAGAATCTTAGAAGGATGTCCTTCAATTTTGCTTCAGACAACAAGAATCCCATCGTTCGATCAAAGGGTTGGCCGGCCGCATCCTTGCTCTGTTGCTGGTCGTCCTCGCCGTGGATGTCCTTCGGTCTGGTGGTGTCGCTGGCTGGCGCTATTGTCAGCCTTCTTGCCGTCGGGAGGCAGCTCGAAGAAGAAGACAGAAGAAGAGAGGCGGCGGCGGGCAGTCTTCGATCTAGAAGAAGAGACGCGAATATCTTTTGTATGTGCTAGGGTTTTGTACTCTAATTTAAAATAAAATAATGTATTTGAGTAAAACACACTTTTCAGGCTAATATGCTCTAAATTAAAATCTGTTTGCATCGTTGGATTTGATTAGTCGATTCTTATCCAACGATATAATTTTTATAATAAATGAATAAGAATTTACAACTTCCACCTGGTCCGTCTTGATTCATTCGATTAAATAACACTAATCAATCTTTTAATTTAAATATTTTCAAATACAATCTGATTAGTCTCGTTTTATTGAGACAATTAGAATCTCTAAGTTATCTTTTAATCCTTAAAATGAATAGATTGTCGTAAATAAAAATTCTTATTTATTTAATTATTGATTAACTTCTAGGCCGGTTTCTAGGGCGTTACATCGTAGGTGTTGATTAACTCTCACGCGATGTCAAAAATATTTCATTTTTTAAAATAATTTTATTTACAAAATTGTATGATAAATTTGCCTAATATAATCTTTAAATGCATCAGATCGACCCTAATTAGATCGAATCATACCAAAACAGATTTAATTGAATCAAGTTAAATTCAAATCCAATGTGATCAGATAAAAATTATTCAAAGAAAATCTATTCAGTTGTATATGTTATGTCCTATATGCCTGATCTAATCTTTAAACGCATTACATCAGACCTAATTAGATCGAATTAGAGTATTAGACCAAAACAGATCTAATCTGATCGAATCAAATTTGAATATAATAAGATCAGATCAAATCGTCAAAGAAGATCTATTTACTTATATACGTTGTGCCCTATTTCCCTGATCTACTCTTTAAATGCATCGGATCATACCTAATTAGATCAAATCGGACAAAAACAGATCTAATCGGATCAAATTAAAATCAAAATTAATAAGATCAAAACTTGAAAGAAATCTATTCACTTAACATGTTAAATCTTAGTTTAACATGTATTTATTTGTTTAAATGATATCCTAATAAAATCAGATTAAATCAGATCAAGTTAGAAAGAATTTTTAAATATAACTAGAATTAGATCTATCAGATAAGATCTAATCAAATTCAAATCGAATAAGATTAGATCTAATTTAAAAAAACAATTTACTTGTGTTGGTTGTGTCTTATTTTTTTAAAAAAAACTTTAAATGCATCAGATCGGATCTAATTAAATCTAATTAGACCAAAACAGATCTAATCGGATCAAATCAAATTCAAATCCCATAAGATCATATATAGTCTTCAAAAAAACAATTTACTTGTCAAGGTTGTGTCTTATTTGCCAGATATAATCTTTAAATCCATGAGATCGGAATTTAGTTAACATTCTTAAAATTCAAATCTAATAAGATCAGATCTAATTTAAAAAAACAACTTACTTGTGTTGGTTGTGTCTTATTTTTGTGATATAAACTTTAAATGCATCATATCGGATCTAATTAGATCGAATCAGACCAAAACAGATCTAATCGGATCAAATCAAATTCAAATCCTATAAGATCAGATCTAGTCTTCAAAAAAATCAATTTACTTGTGAAGGTTATTTCTTATTTGCCAGATATAATCTTTAAATGCATGAGATATGAATTTAGTTAATATTACTTCATCTGTCCGTAAATATTCTTCCCATGTTGGCTTGGCACGCTTATTAAGGATTAGTAAAAAATGCAAAATTTGCAAAAATGCACATACTATAAACTTTTAAATCTCCTTTTATTATTAAAAAAGTACTAAAAAAGTAGATTTGTGATAAAATAAAAGGATATTATTGATATTTATCCTTAAAAAGTATACTAAAAAAGAAATGGGAAGAATATTTCTGGACGGACCTAAAAAAAAGTAGGAAGAATATTTTCGGACGGAGGGAGTATTAAAGTTTACCTCCAAATCTCTACAATTTTAATTTCTCTCTATCTAAATTCATTTTTCCTCCCCTAAATTTCATCCTCCCTCCTCCTAAATTCATTTTCCCTCCCCTAAATTTCATTCTCCCTTTTCCTAAATTCATTTTCCCTCCCCTAAATTTCATTCTCCTTCTTCCTAATTTCTGTTTTCCCTCCTCTAAAAAATCCTATTTCTCGTCGATTAAGGACCGAAGAAAAGAGTTCGCCACTTAGCCGTACCTTCATGCCTAAGCCAGAGCCGTCGATCCTCGTCGCTCCTATCTTCTTCGTCGCCATCGAGATACCTCGACACCGGGTAGTTTCTTCCGATCCCCATAGAGTACCACGATGGCGCATACACCCGCCTCAAACATCGTGTGAAGCCAACATCACAACCCCAATATCTACTACCTCCAATTTACAGGTTTTACTTTATCTTGAAAATACTCTAATGGTTAAATTATGTGAATTTCTTTGCATATCTCTTGAAAATACTCTAAATTCTTCAATTATATGAATGAAAATATTCTAATTCTTCAATTATGAGGATTTATTTATTTAATTTTTTTTACCTCAATTTGATTTTTGAGGATTTATAACATGCATGTCTAAAATTTAGGTATGATATAAAGAAGCCATTTTGTTATTTCATTGGTCCTGTTTCTGTCATTATATTTATTTACTAGATGCTAATTTAGTTCCTCAATACGCATCATGCCTGCTGGTTCTTCATTTATTTGCTCGTCCGAACAATAAGTTGATTTTGTTGCTGGACATTTGGTGTCATTGTTGTAACTATGATGTCAATTCAAATTAAATGGCCCTAAACTATGTAAGAAGTATGAACTTTGTCTCAGTGTTTGGTATCTGCTGGACGTTGCACCTTTAGTCTTAAATCAATCATAAAAGTTGTGATGTGTAATGGAGGGGTAGTGTGTTAGTGTTCATTGTATTGTGTATCATTGCCATTTGATTTAATGTAATTTGTCTTTGTAGGTGTATTTTGGTATAATTTGAAGGGATGCCCATAACGATGCAAGATGCTAAAGGTAAAGAATGGACATTTCAATTCAAGTTTTGGCCCAATAACAACAGCAAGATGTATGTTCTTGAGGTGTACACCCTGTATAGCGAATATGCAATTAGAGGCTGGTGATACAGGTATCCCCTGCTCTTTTTTTTCTTTTCATTGTCTATCATATATAAACAACTTAGGTTGATAATTCTAATTCACATACAATGTTTGAAATGGCATTGCACAATATGACTGATCTGATTTTTAAATTAAATTTTGATTACTAGGTTATTATTTTGTTAGAAACAAATAGGTAAGCTTGGTAAAGTGGTATGATGAATTGATGAGTCAATTTTCCCAAGGACCAAGTCACTTGAATATTGTTTATGCTTATGCAATTGTCCTAAGCAAGTTTATGCAAAGCAACATAATATTTTGTGCGGTCAACCTTTAATAAAGGTAAGCCATATGTTCCAAATGAATAATGCACTAGTTTTTCCATTATAAGGCAATTTAGCCA